GATGTAAATTAATGATCAAATTACGTTTTTGGTATTTTAACAGGATCGACATCTAGTTCATTATTGAGGCAGTTCTGCTGTCTGTCCTCACCTGGGTTCTGTTGAAGGCCACCCGGGCAAAGACGGCCTGCGAGATGCCAGCCCGCTTCAGTTCGTCCCTCACCCACTGGTAAATCTCAGAGGAAACCTCCGTGTTGGACCCCACCTGAGGCTCCAGGGGCTTGCTGTGGGAGCTGCGGTTTACGGGTGGGTGATTGAGGTACTGCTGCGACAGCGACTGCTGCGCCAGCAGCCGGTTCACTGCATACTGCTGGTTGAGGATCTGCGCCATCACGAGCTGCTGGTTGACCAGCTGCGGACTGATGGGCGTGGACACCAACCCAGGGTGGTGTAGGCTGGGAAGCTGCGGCTGCCGGCCACCTGTTTGGCCGCCATGTGGAGGAGCGTGCTGCATTGGTGGGACTGGTGATGATGGCGTCTGCTCTGCGGTGCTGCCAGGAATGGGCTGCTGCTGGGAGAAACTTAGGTGGTTGTGATTGTGGTTGGAGCCGGGAGGGGAGAGGTCGGACAGGCTGTCCATCTCCGCTGGAGAAAAAAAAGAGAAAGAACAAAGAAAACTCCTCAATAATAAGTAGCTGAAAATTGATGGTTAAAAAACAACACTAGAAACTGTTGGAATATTTGGAAAAAGATGAGGTGTAGTTAGTTCTACCTATTATTGAGCAACAGAGAAAATAAGAATCAGTTAAGTACGAAAGATCATTATGGTCTGTCTGTCCAATAAATGCATTAATCCAAAAGAAATCCCTTTTTCTTATATCTGTAAACGCATCTGCAAACATCCTCTCTTTTGCTCTTTTTTAGCCTTTAACCTTTAATTAAAAAAAAAAAAAAGTTTGATCAAAGTCAATGCTTTTGTTCAATGAAGCTATGGACCAAAAACTACAGGAGATCTTGGCTTTAATGCATTTAATAAATGCTAAAAAGAAATACGTGTGTCTGTTATCGTTACATAAAATCATTGCAAAACGAGAACTACGAAACAAATTTGTTTTTTGTTTTTTAATCAGCTGAACCCGAAATTGAAAATCAGCAGATGTGACCTTTAATAGAAAACGGAAATCTGTATCAGCCTGTAAAATCCAAATCATCTCTAACCATAACCACAGTCTCTAATCCAGAGAAAAGAGCTGGTCTGCATCGGGTCAATTACTGCCTCGGGTCAGTGCTTGCCTGAAAGTTAACGTTCTTTTTTTCTTTTTTTTTTTTTCGTTCTTTATGGGAGGGCAATACAATTAGGAGCTCTGAAAGAAAATGTTAAAAACCAAAGTACCAACAAAAAGATACTGTAAGTCAGTGAGCTATATTTCTTTTTTTTCCCCCCTTCAAATGGCCCTTCATCCACGAGTGGATCCGCCACAGCTGGTTATCTGGTTTAAAAGGAAAAAAGATGTAAATGCTGATAAAAGAGCCTCATTGTGTTTGACCTGTGTCTCATGCCTTCAGCATTAAGTTCAGAATGTGTTTGGCCTCATGGTAAAAAAAAAAGATAGCACACAGACAGTACTGCATGTGTGTGTTTGACTGGGATTTATGTGCATGTGTGGATTTATGCCTAATTCTAAAATAAGGAACACACGCTGGCCAATGTGACGATTTTAGACAAGGATGGTGTAAATATAAATGTGAAAAACACAGCTGATGCAGAAACAGCCTTGTTTTAAGGTTTTCAACATCTTCTAGAACTGAACTAAAATCAAATGTTTTCATTGTTATTTGAAGCCAATTTGGGAGATTTTTGTGGTGTCTCTTCTTTCGGGAATCGGTAAGTCCATAATGGCTGCTGGGGAATATTTTAAGACTTCTTTAAATGAAGCGCTTAGAGGATGAAAACAATGATTTAACATTTAAAGTGCTACCCACAGAGAAGTGCATAAACAGCTGGAATAGTTTTCAGGTCGCAGAGGATTTTTTCCCCTCCCCATCTTTTGTGACAAACGAGTGAGGGGGCAGCATTCAAGGATTCATCCGCATGGTGATGTTAACATTACGGAAGTGAGCTGCGGCCTCCACATCCCACGGAGATCCATCCATCGTATGGGATGCATGTTAAACAATTTAGGGGTTTTATTTTCATAAAAGCTGTTTTTTTTTTCCAGCAGATGGAAGATTATCTGCATGGATTTTTTCCAAAAAATATTCTTGATAATCATGTCTACAGGGGGCCTGTTTCTTAACTGTCAGGATTCAGAAAACCAAGACAGGTCTATTGAGCATTTTTATTTATTTTTTTAACAAATGATGAGGAGTGGAGGGGTGAAGGGGATAAAACAAAAACAAAACCAAAAAAAAAAAACAATCTTGGTAATAATTACGTCTCTTCTTATAATCCTCTTCATTCCTTGGCTCTGATGGTATGACTTGCCTATTCACTCTTAAGTGAATGTGTGTGTGTATGTGCATATGCTTGCACATGCAGACTGCTGGGGGGCATGTTCACAACACACAAACACTGAGGCACATGAAGGCATTTCCATGCAAATTGAAAAGAGAAGGGGTGACAGAAGAGCATGGCAGGCCCTGGGAGAAAAAAACCCGGCTGCCACAGAAGCAGGAGTCCTCGTGTGGAATCCTGCCACAAAAGAGCCCCGGATTAAACACACAATGGGAATGGGATGTGGGCTGAGGGAGAAAATGTATGTGTGTGTGTTTGATAGAGCGAATGAAAAGAGGATTGACCCAACTTTCACTCTTCTGTTGGCTTTCATATGCTAGATCTAACACGAGAACCTGTGATCAGTGACTTTAACCCGTAATCTGGAACTTTATCCAACAAGCAGGAACTTAAAACCATGATCAGGATGTTCAATTTGGGATAAGGGGAGTACTAAGGTTGACTTCAGTCTCCAATTAATCTCTGAATGTTTTGTGAAGGAAAATCAGAGGAGAGGCTGTTCAGTTATACGGCCTCCCTCCAGCACCTTCTCCTCTGTTTGTTGCCACACAGACCAGATATCAGTGCATTATGGATCCAGAGGTTAGGGGCCACCATGGCCCTGTGGTGGACACCAGACATGTGTGTGGGGTTTTTTATCTGATGTTTGGTTAACATGACATGTGGGTACTAAAGTTTTGAGTTTGTCTGCACGTCTTGAGATGTTATCAGCGAGTTTGTGTACCGATGTGGTTAGTTTCTTATCACAGCTTCATATTCCAGACGGATGTATTTGATATATGACAGTACTATGTATAGGTTATCACCATTACACAGAACTTAGATACGTATTTAAGTGGAAAATGGGCTTAATGTTCAGGGTTTGACCAACAAATCTCACTACTTGAGTACTTTTTATGAGTCATTTAGGGGGCTTTTTCTCTCTTCTGCTTAAGGGCTTTCTGCAAAAGTTTAAAAACAGTAACTTTCTAATAATATATTTAAAAAATCCAGTATGAACAGGAGATAATATAGACCTTTACCTTCCCTGTAGCAAATCTACATGACACCTTTAAGATCCAACCTTTCACAAGCATTAAAATCAAATTGGAGCTCTGGGTATTCTTAAAGGTAAAACTTTCTGATGATTCTCTACATTAGAGCTGTCAAATCAATACGAACTGCAGTAAGAACTGCCGTAACAAACCAATAAGTTCCCTTTAAATCAGTTGTTTAGACAGTACCATAAAACTTATGTTAGGGAGAAAATGTGTCTGAAGTTTGAACATTATAATGCAGAGACAGCTGCTGTTATCAGCCTTGGTTAACAACAGCAAAACAAATAACTTAACCAACAAGTTGCAATCTAATAATTATGGGGCTGGTGGTATTTACTAATCTATGATTCAGCCTCAGGGTTAAAAAAAAACATTTAAAGGTGTGACCTTAGTTGTAGACTCCTAACAGACCAATCAGAGAGGGAATTCAGTTTTAAAGTTACATAATTAAAATAGTTTTGGGAAGAGATTTAAGACAGATTTTTACTGTTATGTCAGATTAAAGTAGTCATACACTGTTGGATTGCCATCCATCCAACTTTTGGCGCTTATCCGTTAGCGTCTATGAGTGAATATATTGTTTTATTAAATGTATAATAAAAGAAACGTGATATAGATTAAGTCTCTAAGGTATCCATATCCTTCACATCTTAATATCTTTTAACTTTCTGAAATTCAAACAAATCTAAACGTATTTCTCTTGGATTTTATACAATTGACCAACACAAGCTAATGGTGAATGGGGAGAGAAAAAATCATGGTTTTAACGTGTAGTGACTGAAATCCTTTGTCTCCACCTTTCAACTTACCTTTAGCTCAGTCAGATCTCAGTATCGTTTTAAAACTTCAATCTCTTAAAATTCTCCCCAACTCATTCTTGACCTTTCTGTTGTGCCGTCATGAAGCTGTCTTTCACTAATGTTTTAAATCAAACCACTGATAATATCACAGAGGAAATCGATTTGTCAGAAATGATTTTACAGAGGTGTGTAGCTGGAAGCATTTGGTTCCACTGGATTTTAATTAGGAGTGTCTGAGTAAAAAGGATCCCACCCCAAGCGTCTCACTTTTGTTAATAACTGCTGAAAACCATTGATTATTTCCCTCATGACTTAAATTGGCTTGAATTGGTTTTAGAACCAAAAAAAAGATTCTAATTCTAGTTAGGGAAGTGAGAAGGTAGCTATGAAGATGTTAGGTTTATGTATTTAGGAATAAAATGTGGCTTCTTCAATGGTGAGTGGGTGAGTGCATCTTCTATTAGGGTTTGAAATCAAGGTTTACGGTTTACTTCAGGAAAATAAAAGTTATATTTGCAGGTATTTTGGTTGGGTTAAAGTAAAGCTGCAGGAAATTAATTTGTGTGTGTGTGTGCGTTTGTGTGTGCCCAAGCTGTAACATACCTAGTGCATTGGCACGCGGACTCTCACGGAGGACACAGGTCCCCAGGTAGCCCTCCAGCTGGGAGGGTTGGCGCATGCCTGCACGGACGAATGGCAGGGCACGCACATGCACACACACACACACACACACACATACACACACACACACACACACACAGACACACAAACACACACACACCACAATGTAGAGGTGTGAGGAGAGAAACACAGGGGTTAAGGCTTTCCACAGATTGTCTCTCCCACTTCCAGCTATGCAGGAATAAAAACATCAGCATCGCTACAAAAAGGCCAGACTGGCAGCTGCAGCAGCTCCTCTTATGAGGAACATAAAACCAGACAGAAAACAAGTGAGACAGAAAATGTGTAGGAGTGAAGCAAGAGAATACACAAGAAGAGCGACTCTGAAGTAAATAATGTAGCCTGTGTACGCTGTCACTTTGAAAGCATCAGATAAAATGTGATGGCGGCACACCGTTTGCATGCAGGATGTGAACATTTTTTTGATAAAGAATCTCATCTGTCATCACTGTGAGGAATGGCATCCTGGCAGAAAAAAAAAATAAAGATTAAGTTCAACAGATTGCTAAAAGTAATACCTCACTATTGCCTGGTGCCCTATAGGTTTCACAGCACAAAGCTGTTTTTGCTTAATAAAACTACAGACATATAAATCTGATAACTATCTCCAGCTTTGGCTCCACTGGCATTATATGACCCCCATTTCCTGTCAAAGGTTATTTTTTTAGATTGGGTAATTCATCGGTACAGAGGTAGATAAGAAATCTAATTATATTCGGGATGAGGCGCTGGACAGTTGGAGTCATTGTTGGTTTTTACTCAAAGAAAACCTAAGAATTATACAAAACATTAAATACAATGTAGATGCTAAAAATGAGTGTTAGGGAATTAATGGATCTTTCTGAGGAGTAAAGGTAGAGAAAAAGGAACCTAATTTAGTTATTGGGTTTTACATATTAGGTCTTGATTAAAGATTGACTTTTTTTTTTTATCAGGTTTAAAATCTTCTAAATCTGACCTCGAGTTTATATGTTAAAAAAAAAAAAAAAAACACTGCTATTTCAATTATCAACTAAGCAAAATTTCAGGGCAAAATGGAAATGATGACTGTGAATAAACTGAGCTCCTCCAATGATTTAACAGCTGGTTGGACCAACTTTAGCAATAATGACTGTCAACAGTCGTTATCCGGAGGCCTTTAATAAGCTCTCCTATTGCTCTGGTGGAATACGCACCTCACTTCTCCAAACTATTACTTCAGTTAATAAAGGTTTGCAGACATGATATCTGCTCAGCTTTTTAAGGTCCTTTTAATCAGGTTGATAGCTGGACTTTGAATCACTGCACCACATATATTCAAGTTGCATTCAAGTATATTTAAATCTACAAGCTGCAAAGGTCATCCAGGTCCAAATCCTGTCCTCTCCACCTGAGGTGTTGGTGCTGAAACGCTGTTTGGGTTTCTCCAAACATGTCCCTGTAAGTCTTGTCATATCTCTCTGCTTTGGTCTCATCCTTCTTAAAACACTAATTTTCTCATGTCCTGTGGTTCATTCAAATGCAGCTGTGCAATCTGAGGGGAGATAAAAGAACAAAACAAGCCAAACTATTTTTCTCTTTTATTAGCTGTCCTGTCATGAACTTTTAGATTCCCTCATGCTAACTGAGGTCTGTGGTTTGTGGGATAGAGCTAATGTTCTTTTTTTTTTTTTTTTCCCCTTCAGATCAACACAATCAAAGAGTTGTTCTGGGTAATTTTCTGCTGTGTTGCTTGCTTTAAAATGGATATATAAAAGTTTTGCATTCATACATTTCCTCCCTGTACAACCATGGATGGTGTCTATTAACAGAAAGCTGGGAAAGCTCCTGCTTTTATTGAGGTGGTCACACCCATAAAAGAAAGTATGTTTGATCCGCAGCATTTTAAAGCCACATTCCTCTAGCTTTTTCTTTATGAACAGAAAAAAATGGCCATTTAAAATCTGTTGTATGGTTAATTTCAGGTTAAATTCCAGTTTTGTTTTTAAGACCAGATCACTTTTATTCCTCTGATATACCAAACCATAGAACTGATGGTGGCTGTACTTCCTCTTTACAACGGGTTGTAACTCCAGTTTCGACCTTGAATTATTAGATAACAAAGTAAAAATGTATCTGTGCAGCGTTCAACAGCAGGAAGACAAAGAGCCGTTTGGATAGGGGACATATTGTGATGATGACTGGTGCGAGTGTGTGTTTAAGAGCGTGTGTGCGTGTGTGTGTGTAAGCAAAGAGACAAAAGTGTGAGCGCCATACTTTGCGCCCCTCCGTTTTGCTTACCCATCATATCTTTTGTCTTCTTGAAATGTTTATACCAGCGCCCAAATTCCTGACACTTTGCCGCCGACACATTTGCATAGTAAGTGCTGTTCACAATGGAGGAAATCATACTCTGAAAGAGAGAGATTGATTGAGAGAGAGCGGGAGAGACTTTTAGATTCTCACTGTGGAAAATACAGACATAATATTAGAGCTGGTGGAACATGCAGCAACGCTCCAGCTTGTCAAAGCAAATAAAATATAAGGAGGGGAGGTAAAAGTGTACGACATGCAGATGTTTAAGATTGTTGTTTTTTTCCAAACGAACAAGAAATCACATCAAACAAGGTTTAATCTGTTGTCTTTATCAAATGCCACAGAGTTTGTCTCTTTCAGAATAAGTACTTTTCTTCAAGAACAAGAAAAATATTTACCTTCAAAAGGAACACAACGATCTATTAAGCATCAGCAGCTGTGGAGGTGTTTCTTGTAAGGGAATAAGAACCTTTCATTTTCCAGCTCTATTTATGCAATCTGTTAGAGACTAAAACTTCAAGCAGGCCAGGGTCTGCAGCGAGCATGTCGGTCCGGGACGCACCCCTGCTTCTGACTCTACCTATATAGTTGCCTCTTTGCTCTCTAAACATTTACCTCCAGCCTTTCACAAACAGAGACCCCCCCGCCCCCCTTAATTTATTAAATCCCAATGCAGTTTTAATAAAATGAATGCTTTAACACCTCGCCAGCCTCCGGGTAAATGCAGAAAAATGTTTTTGATTGTTATAAATATTCAAAAGAACCAAACCATCTGTTTTCAAATTATGGGCATGCCATCTTTATCGTTTTCTATAATATATGCGCTCAGAGGACTGTGTGGGGACCTTCTGGTAGAGCGAGTGTTTCAGTATTATGTTGGTTTCACTGACTTCAGCCTGTCTTTACAGGGAGGAGAAAAAGGCCAACAGCCGTGCCGTCTGAAAGGTCAGAGCATCTCTGAACTTCTGACCTTTGCATTGAAGTGATACTTCAGATTTACTTTATGTGAGATTTTGTTAAGAGGTTACGACTGGAAGATATATTCCCTGCAGTGTCTTAGTTTGTTTTTAGAGATTTTCACAGCAGGATAAAAAGAAAAACTTTCCAGCAGGTTAAAAGAAGTCCAGACACAAAATATTTTCCTGCAAACGCTCATTAATAAACGTTTCTATGCGATACCAGCCTAATAGAATGCATCTTCCTGTTTAGACCCTTACAGAGAGAAGAGGCCCACAGCACCACAGACCCTCCACCATACTGAGCCTCTGTTTAAAGTCAGACCTACCTACTTCATTTTAAAAAGCTAAATCTTAAGCTTTTTTCATTTTTTTTTCCTACTGGATGATATCTGAATAAGAAGGAACTGAGATCTGGAACCATTGCTGCAAAAATTCATTTTCTTGTAAGCTTCTTTCCCATTTTAAATGTTTATTTGGAAGGTGAGAGCTTATTGCCAAACATCTCGAAAATGGAAAGAGTTTTAAGGTTAACAGACAAACAAATTTTTGTGGTTGATATTACAAGACTGGAGTTCTGACATGACAGAAATCAGCTTGTGTTTTAACCCAACCCAAAAAGATTTTTATCTGCAGCAGATCAAATCTTGATCAACCTAAATCTCTCAACAGAAACCTACATCAAAAAATCTGAAACATCATATTGATTCCGGCATTAGTTTTGATGAGAGTATGGGTTAAACAAGGTCAGTATTATAAAATGATCTCCACCTTCACCCTTATTTCAAATTAATGACGACAATCTGCCCCAGATCTTTAATCATATGCTTCCTGTTTCCTTAGCTGGTTGTTCAGCTAGTTTGGCCGGAAAACATTGTTACACTTGTTGAGGTGAGCTTTTATTGACTTATATGTGATTAAAATATGCAATGTTGCTTTAAAACATCAGACAATAGACAAAGAACCACCCTAACTCTTCCAAGGCCTTTGTCACTATGAAATAACAATGCTAACCGCTTAGCATCTCTCAATAGGCTTCTTCCAAAGTAAATCCTCATCTATGTTCTACATGTAAGCAAAAACTTTACATTAAGAGCTAAGCACAAACACAAAGGATTGCTTCAATTCAATTCCTTCTACTTTAGTTTATTTTATTTGCATAACACCAACTCAGAGCCTTTGCTCAAGTCTTAATTTGAAGGAAAAGCAGGAAATGTTTATATTACAGAAAATATATCAAATCAAACCAGAGGAGTCAAATAATGGATAAAGAGATGGATTCCAGATCTATACTGACCATAAAACATCCATCCATCCATTTGTCGTCATGCTTATCCCAAGCGGGGTTCCTGGTGCCTATCTCCAGCTGTCTATGGGCGAGAGGCGGGGTAAACCCTGGACATGTCGCCAGTCCATCGCAAACAAGACAAACAACCATTTACGCACACACTCACACCTAAGGAGAATTTAGAGAAGCCAATAAACCTAACAGTCATGTTTTTTGACTGTAGGAGGAAGCCGGAGTACCTGGAGAGAACCAATGCATACTTAGGGAGAACATGCAAACTCCATGCAGAAAGACCCAGGTGCAAGAATCAAACCTGCAACGTTCTTGCTGCAAGGCAGCAGTGCTACACAATCAAGTTAATAATACTAGCTGGTAAATCGTTTTCTTTCTAGAGCAATTTTATCGGCTGCATTCATTTGATGACTCTTTTTTTAACCACAAAAATTTGGTTCAATTTTTCCTATTTTGTGTTTACAATGGCATGACTGTGATGGTAGTGGTAAAGCACAGGCCTTTCCTGCTTTAAACTTAACTATCAGAACAATGAAGTGCAAACAGAGCATAGGTTAACCCTGAAAGGGTCCAGCTTATTAACACAATGACGACCTCACAGCCTGAGTACTCAGCTCTGGAACAAATTCACAACATAACAGGCAAAACTGTCACATACAGATATGTTAATTGTTTTATTCTTATTTTAAGTTCCTCAAATATCTATTTATTTACACCAGATGTCCAAACACTCTAGGCTCTTGCAATCAAGGTAAAATGAGTTCTTTAGAAAATCCTGGCCGCTAATGATTCTGACGCTCCACCAATCAAAGCTATCAAAGTATTGGCTTCCAATCCTTATTTTACCATCTAATACAACAAATGATTCCAGTACAGTAGTCTTTTTCCTTCACTTCTTTAATTCTTTGTCAGAATTTAAGCTCAAAAACTGGTTCTAATAATCAAAATAAGGTGATTTGAAAGGTTTGCTGTTGCAGTTATGCTACTGATTACTTGGTGTCTCATATATATGAATATATTCATTTAAAGCTGAAACAAAAGTACACAAATCTGGATATAAAAAAACTTTTGGAGCAGCTTAAAAAGATACCCAAGGGGGAAACAATGAGAGGGTATCAAAATAAGGAGTCATTAAAAGATATTGATTGTGCTAGAAAACATTTAAATGATGATCAAATGGTTTACCTTATAATTGAAACTGCAAATAAGACACTGCTAATCGATTTTCTCTAAGGGCTGCGTACAGAGGAAGGAGCGTACACTCAGCTGCTGATTTTATCTGAATATTTTTTCAGGGAAAAAAAATAAAAGATAGTTGAGCGGAGTCACATTGGCGACTGCAGCTGGGTGTGAATCTGTGCCAAGCATGTTGTGGTGCATCATCCCGCCATGATGGAAAAACAAGGGGAAGGGGTGGGGGGGGGGACGCAAAGAGGTCTGCAGTCGGACTTGAACCGTATAACAAAGCGGCCTTTTATAGATGTATTGAAAAGGCTTGATTCAATAAAATAACCCTGACAGAGTTCAGGTTGAGGTTAGGAAGTCAGAATTAGCTTTTTAATGGGTCATACATTAATGCATGAAGTGCTTCCTTCTCTTCAGTTTATGCAATATTGTTATTAGTGAAGAATAAATACGAGTTCAACCTTTTGTGGTCGATTCCTTGGGATGTGGAGAAGCCAGAATGGTTTCCTTATCTCTTCTTTAGTTGGGGTTGGGAGGGGGGATAGAAATGGGGAGATTCTGGATGATAAATGGTGGATTTGGCAGCAACCCATACATTCCAGTTTTACCTTATTCAAGCAGCTCAAAAATCCACCTGGAAAGGCTAATTTTAAAGTGAATATAGCTCTCCTTATAGTCAGGGGGTGGGATAATGAACTCCTATCCTCTAGCCTGCCATGTTTTATTTACAGTATATCTGGGCTAAGGCGGCTCCAGGCAACAAACAAGAGGCCTGCAGATCCCTCTCTCTCTCTCGCTCCCTTTTCCTCCGCCATCTTTGACACAGATGTTCTAATAAACGCTCCTCATTAATCAGCCCTCTCCCTCAATACATCACTCTACCTCTCACAGGGGGCCAAGCCTGTATGTGTGAGGAGAAACAACACACACACATACCTATTCTGCATCCCCCCGTTGCTCTGTCACACACACATGCAGACGCACTAAGTGAAATCAAGCAGATAACCAGCGCCTCTGCTTCCACTGAGGAACCAGCAGGAGGGCTGAGCTTCGGCGTGTCAACAGGTAGTAACTCTGTCGGTGTGTGTGCATGTGTGTGGACCCTTTAAGCGATAGCCATCTGCAGCACAGAGAGCTTATCGGCAAGACCAGGAAGTGGCACTGGGCTACTATCGGTCCCCAACATCTACTCCACTCCCCATCATAGGAGACAGGAAGAGAAAGGAGTGTGTGTGTCTGTGTGTGTGTGTGTAAGTGGATCACAGTGCAGCAAGCAGGTACTGTAGGCACCCAGCTGCCAGCATCACACTGAACAACACACACACACACACCCAAATGTAAGCACACGACTGTGCCGGATGTCTTGAATCGGTTGGGAAAAAGAAGATTGTATTTGCAACACTGTGCCTCGTCGCTCGCCAACATCTAACAGAGCTCAATTATGGCACATATTCACTCAACCGGGATGACCCCTCCCCTCAGCAACCACCGCAGACACACAGGGGCGCTACGCAATGGTAGCAAGGTTGTGCCTGTGGCAGTCGAAGTGGCAGAGGCGCATGCAAAGATGGCATTTTGATGGCTATTTGCTGCTACAAAACGAAGCAGCTGGTGCATCAGGGGCAGCCCAGTGAGAGAGGGGGGGGGGGGTCACGT